AAATTTTATCTTTCTTGCTATTCTTTTTAATGTACTTATAATGTACTATGTGATTTTTTTGTTGGTTCTTTTGTATGTTCATCCCCCATGGTATAACCCCTGTTGTCACTGTATTTGATTCTGGTGTCCTGCATCTTGTATATACAATTTTCTAATTTGGGGAGGGGAAGGGAAATAACAAAATGCTGAAATAAAGTTATAAGATGACCCATTGTAACAATGAGATATACAAGACACTATGTTGAAAACAACTTTACAATTTGAGTGTGTGTGTGTGGTGGGGGGGAGTTAGGAGGTAGGGGAAAGGGATGGTAGAGAAAAAACAAAGGAGGGCATAACAATGCTTGATAGGAAACAGACTCATTACCTTGCTCATATAACTGTAAACCCTCTGTACAGGATCTTTACAATAAAAATAATAAAAACAAAAAAGTAAACAGTGAAAGAACAAATGGTTCAATGAATAAGTGGGAAAACGAATTTAACAGTCAGTTCTCAGAAAAAGAAGTACAAATGGATAATAGACACATGAGAAAAAAAAACACTCTACACTCTTAACCCAAAACAAAATGCAAATTAAAGTAATTCTAAGGTCCTATTTCACCCCAGTCAGAGCAGCTACCATCAAGAAAACAAACAAATACTGGCAAGGATATGGGCAGGGTGGGGAAGAACCTCAGAGATTGTTGGTGAAGTATAACCTGGTGTGAACTACCTCAGTGTAGAGGTTCCCCCCAAAATTAAAAATAGACTACCTTATGATTCTGCCTTAGGGAAAGTTAATCAATACATAAGAAAGATACTCACATACTTACGTTTGATGCAGTACTGATCACAACAGTAATTCCAACCAGTGCATTCAGCTGAGGTATCCAATAACACATGAATGGATAAAAAACATATCATGGAATATTACTCAGACATAAAGAAAGTGAAATTATATCGTGTGCAGAAGAGTGGATGGAACTTGAGATCATATAGAACAAGATAATCCATACTCAAAAAGTCAAATCTTGTGTTTTGTCTAATTCATGGAATCTAGACCTAAAATATGTTCATAGATCTAAAAGAAAATATACACATATGTATACATATAATATTAAGTATGCTTGTAACTATAGGATTGTAACTGTAGGATTGTTTGGGGGAATGAGAGGCAGGGAGAAAAGGAACAAGAATGATGGAGGGTGGATGGTATTGAAATACATTATGTCTATGCATGCAGATGGTATAAGGAAACTTGGAGGGGATGGAGAAAGATAATGGAGGAAGTTAATCTGATTAAAATATGTGCACATATGAAATACCACATACATAAAAATGAATGAAAATGATGCGAAGAAAACAAAATGAATACCTGAGAAATCCATTCCTCTTTATTTTGCCCATGGAAGACAAGGCTGAGCATTATTTTCAGACAGTGATTGTGGTTATGTTAAGCTGTCTTCGGTTTTGCTTGAAAATAAAATACAAGAGAATAGACTTCACATGATAACATGTAAGTTAACAGCAAAAGAAATGACCAACAACAAAAACTGAGAGACAGAAATATTTATTAAATAAACTCATATGTATTTTCTTGCTGTATGTGGAGAAAATTAGTTTGTAGTACCATGTCAGTTGTGATAGACAAGAGTTGATTTCTGTTTCCTTCTTTCTATACATTTGACCTACATTTACCCCCAAAGAATACTAATACCAAAAAATTGACAGTTTCCTTTTAAGAGTATGGATCTTTTTGAAATTTGAGATAACACACAGAATATAGAACTCACCATTAAAGCCATTTAAAAGTATTCTGTTTGGTCACAGCTTACATTAGTAGAACATGCACACTCAGTGTTTCACAGCCATTGCCCCTGCCCAGATCCAGGACATTTTCATTGCCTCACAAGGAAACCTTGTACCCATTAAGTTGTCAGTGTTCAGTCTTTCTTTCCCTTAGATCCTGAAAGGAGTCATGCTTTATTGTATCTATGCTTTCATCTTGGGAATGCATTTTTTTTGTAATCTTGTGAATTCTGAATTTGTTTATCTAACTAGAGACTATAGATTATTATCTATCTGCATATATGTCTGTATGCATATACCTGACAGAGAGAAAGAGAGAGCTCACTATGTATGTCAACATTCATGAGAAACTTTTCAAGGTCAATTCTATTTGCAGAACTCAAACAATGTGAAGGCTTGCGAGGATACTTACCTGTCATTCAATGTCTTTTTTTTTTTTCATTCAATGTCTTAAAGTAAGCATTTGAGCTTGAATTTCTCTCAAAGGTCCAGTTCTCAGAAATGTCAAAAAGTTCTTAAACTTGCTTATAACACTGAGAAAAATGTTTGAATAGAAACAAGGCTTTATAGCTCCTAATTTAGGATAAAAAGTTCCATATCCAATAGGAGCTCTGCCCTGCATCAGCTCTTCCTGTAATAGCTGGTGATTGCCCTATTATTTTCAGAGCACTGGAGTAGTGACCATTCTTTATTCTACCTTTCTCCTGGTGAGGACATCAGATACAACAGAGGAAACTGAGGATCCTGTTGGGTAAGTGAAATGCAACTTAAAAAACCCTGTCCTTTCTCAACCACAAATACTTGTTATCAGTTTAAATTAGAATTTACATTTTATTGTGGTTGGAAATTTTAAAATGATTAACCTATTCATGAACTTTAAACCATGCTTAAATATAAAATGGCTGGGTGAAGTGGCTCATACCTGCAGTCCCGGCACTCTGGAGGTAGAAGCAGAACTGTGAGTTCCAGAAATGAGATCCTGTCTTTAAAAGAAAAAAAAAGCTACAGATCAATTGGAAAGTGGTTTATTTGGTCTCTCTCTCTCTCTGGTAAATTGACAAGCTTGTATGACTTTCTTAGTTCTGATTGAATTAGCAAAGCTGTGTAGTGTGTGTTCTGGGAAAAACAATTTTGGAAAAAGACTTAATTTTTCAACTAGTCAAATGTTTCCTTGGAAGGAGGAAAGGGAGTAGGGTCTTGTGACTTAAGCAGTGAAGTACAAGGCCAGGGCATTTCTGTCCCTTTGCATTTTACCCATATTTTGAGGATTTTTTAAATTCTATGTTTAACTCCTTTCTATGTCATGACCTCAATAAAATTTGACAATTTGCATCAGTTATGATTTAGGGTTCCCTTGGAGATGCTTAAAATGCCACCAGCTTTGGTGGCCCGGACTTTGCTGATCTCCCCACAGTGTCTTTTTAATTTGCTTCAAGATTGTTTCTCATCTGCTCTTCTCATCATTTTCTAAGTTTTGGCTTCTGGGGAGTCTTGGGTGGCAATGCAGAACAGACTCCATATCACATTTTGAAGTACACACCGACACAGCTATTTATTTATTTTCACAAATACTTCTCTGTGTTGATAGTAAGCAATGCCTTTCTTTCTAAGCTACAGAACTTCCTTTCAACCATCTGAAACGTGGAGGTGGGCTCAGCACTCTTTATGGTACTCAATATACCGTGTATTAAATAGGCAAAGGATTGCTGGACCTATCAACACAGCTCATTCCTCCTAAGAAATCCTTCCTTGTATCGTGGAAGAGATTCATTTGTCAGTCTCTCCTTCCCAAGCTGTGCTCAGTGCACACTTTATTTCTAATCCCATTCTCGAACTTCAGCAGGCCTACCCTAAATCTCTGAAGGAAGAGAAAGAACTTGGAAATACTGTGTGAAAGACAGGAAAGAAAGAGCTTTAAAAAAGGAGAAAAATCAGTTAAGAGCAAACTGTAAATTCCCTATCTCTGTTCTCCAGACCAAGTCCCAACCGAAGCCAGCAGCACCCCGCCCGTGGACCTTTGGGGCTTCTGATTGAGAGTCCAGATATAGGGCATGTGTTCCTGAGCGGCTCCCTTCATTAGGAGGTGGCAGTCTGGCCTGAGCGCCAAGCGCGGAACCTGGATGGAGTCTCAATGTACAGGATCACTCCTGAGGTTTCTGCAAGATTGAATAAGGTAAGGTCATCAACAGGCTGGGTTAAAAAAAGAGAGAAAAGGAAGGAGTACCTATCTGTCCCTCCCCACGGGGTTCGGCACAGCTGGATACAACTAATCAGCTGGCATTCAAAGTCATCCATTCACCCCCTCCAGGTGGCCACCAAGCCGACACAGAACCCAGAACCAACTGGGACAACCGGCATTCCTGGGAACTGGCCCATAGCTGCGGGAGAGGCAGGAAAGAGAGTCGGGGGGGGGGGCGGGGGGGTGAGGACGCAGAGGGAGAAGAGAGACAGTGCGCGGCGGGCGAGGCTGCTGCCTCCTTGATGTATCTCCAGGGCAGAGTTGGGGTTCGAGGCTGAGGGGGGCGGTGTTAGATCCGTACCCCTGGGGAGGGGACTTCACCCTTCCAAGGCTGCCTCGCTCCTCGGAGGAGGGGCTCGGATCTCGGAGCCCCCTTCCTGCGCTTTGATTCTGCTGCTTTGAGGGGACGCCTGCCCAGCCATCCTGGGAAGAAGAAGAAACAAACACACAAACATTCCCCTCCGCAGGCGGCCGGGACGGGAAGGCCGGGACGGCGGCCTCGGTGCCCCGAGTTAGATCTAGATCCATACGGAATGCACATCTGTTTCAGGGGAGCCCCTTTCCCCGGCCGGCTCGGGTTGGAGCTTGGCAGCCAGGTCGCCGGGGCGAAGCCTTTCCCTCCAACGCCTGTCTGGAGGGCTCCCACGCCGCGGGTCCCACGCCGGTCCCCCTCCCCACTGCCCCCCCCCCCCCACCATGTCCTTCCCTGGCTTCTGCAGCAGCAGGAAAAGCCCGGCGGGTGGCGTGGCGGAGGCGGGTCGCGCAGGTTATCAGTGGCCGGCCGGACGCCTGCGCCGGGGCGGGTGGCTCCCCCCTCCTCCCGGCTGGGAGGAGGGCGTGCGGGGCCCCGCGGGGCCCGGGAGGCGACGGCGGCGGAGGAGGCTGCGGGCGGGCGGGCGGGCCGCGCCGGAGCTCCGCCCCCGGCTGGTATAAGTGCGGGGCCAGGCCCGCGGCGGCGGCAGCGGCGGCGGTGGCGCTGGCGGCGGCTGGAGCCGGCTCGGGTCCTGCTCGGCCTGTCGAGCCTCCCACCCGCTTCCATAAGGCTTTTGCTTTCCAACTTCAGCTACAGTGTTAGCTAAGTTTGGAAAGGAGACCAAAGGAAGACCCCGGGCGGTTGCGCCTTTCCAAGTGCTGTCCCCCCTTCGCTTGGCTGCGGTAGTCGCGGAGGTCTTTTTTCACCTAAGAGGCTGCTGTGTTTTTAGCGGTGCTATCTCCAGTTCCTTGCACTCCTCCTCCACCCACACCTCGCCAGGAAGCAGCCGGGGACCAGCCGCGGGACCGCGAGCCGGGGGAGAACGCCTGCCTGGAGTCATGGCCCGGGCGAGAGCTCAGACCCCGCGGGAGGGACGCTGCGGTGAGTTGGGCAGAGCCGGCGCGCGCGCCCCCCGGGCGGTGCGGGGACGCGGCCTGGCCTCGCAGGTGTGGCGGGAACGCGGCTGTGCCCGCGGCCAAACCCTTTAATGAGCGCACGTCTGGGAACGAAGAAGAAAACGCGTCCCGAGTGTGAACTTGCACACAGGTGGGGATGTCGCGGGCCGGGCGGTGGCATTGCCTGGCGCTGACACAAGAGTTTCTAAACAGTTTCTTCACTTTGCGCAAACCTATGCAGAGGTGGACCAACAGGGCGAATTTAAGTTAATGGCATTCGGAGACGAAACACCTCCGTTTACAGTGACTTGAGAAGCTACGTGGTTTGTCGTGCACATATAGCAGTGCTTTCATAGAAGATGCGCGTTTTAATCTCGACTCACTCAAGTAGTTAATGTGCTTTAAAACAATCTTTCTTCCCGTGTTTCTTTGTAGGATTCTTAACCAACTACCTGACTTCTGCAAAATTCCTTCTCTACCTTGGTCATTCGCTCTCCACTTGGGTAAGTGAGAATGCACACCAGGCCGCGCACCACAGTTACACAATTTCTTGTTTACTTTCAGCCAGTTGGGGTAAGCCAAGCTCTACTTTTGTCATGCAGCTAAGGAAAATAGAGCATGCTTTAATGCAAAAGTTATTTTCATCAAAGCTGTTTCTCAGAATGGCAGAGTGAATGACTTCAGCTAATAATAACATTCTAAGATTAATTTAAATATACAGGACAAACAAGATCAAATATCTGAATGATTAAAATCCTGGCCCTCACATAGTATGTGTGGTCACATCGTAAGCTGTCCAATAAACCATTATGTAATGAAAATCAGAAACTGATTCACCCTTCTCCCTCTGACTTTCTGTGTGGTTTTAAAAGAATCCCAATGTTCCCATTGGCCTGAGTTTCATTATCAACCCTAAAAAAGTGAATCATCCGAAAAGGTGCTGGATACATGTTTAATGATTAAAATCTTTAAAATTAAGCAATTGTTCTTATTGTCTAAAAGCTGCACAGCTGAGTATGTTCAAATCATATGCCCTTTTATTAAAAGCACCAAAGTAAGAAGAATTTCAAGAGTAAATTTTTAATCTTGCCGGGCACTGGTGGCTCACGCCTGTAATCCTAGCTACTCAGGAGGCTGAGATGTGAGGATCGCGGTTCAAAGCCAGCCCAGACAGAAAAGTCTGTGAGACTCTTATCTCCAATAAACCACTGAAAAACCGGAAGTGGCGCTGTGGCTCAAGCAGTAGAGGCCTAGCCTTGAGCTGAAGAGCACAGGGACAGCGCCCAGGCCCAGAGTTCAAGCCCCACGACCCACCAAAAAAAAAATTAATCTTAATTTATTTTTTTAAAATGGAAACTAATGTTGTATTATTCTTAATAGGTGAATAGAAATCACTCTATGAGGAAATCTCTAGCTGGGTTTTGAGAAGTTATTAAGATAGATGATTGCCTTTCTAAGAAATATCCGTTCATAGTCAGCTTTGTAGCCAAGCAAACTGCTATCTTCTCAAATGCTTACTCAGCAATGACTCAGCAAATCGATGTCAACAAAGTGGGATGGGTGCAGTTTGTTTCAATTCCAATAACTGGTGAGACTAAGTAGAAACCTAGTGAAACCACACAGTAAATCTAAAAGGATGTTTTCTCTATTTAATTTACTAAGTTGTAATAGGTAACGCAAATGGTGTCTAAAATTCTCAGCTTGTCCTCTGGCCCTCACTCACTCCTAGAGAACCGAAGTGAACTAAAATATCTGACTTACAACTACGGGCAGGGATTAAGTTTTGTTTTTTAAATTTTTTTGGTCAGTCCTGGGGCTTGAACTCTGGGCTTGGGCACTACCCCTGGGCTCCTCAGCTCAAGGCTAGCGCTCTACCAGTTGAGCCACAGCGCCACTTTCGGTTTTCTGATGGTTTATTGGAGATAAGCGTCTCACGGACTTTCCTGCCAGGGCTGGCTTTGAACTGCGACCCTCAGATCTCAGCCTCCTGAGTAGCTAGGATTACAGGGTGAGCCACCTACGCCCGTCTGAGTTTAAGTTTTTGTGACCTTTGGCTGATAGATTAGTTGTCAGATTTGCCAAAAACATGAATGGAACTGTGGTTGTTCTAGGAGGATTTTACATGAAGAATTTTTTTTTGGTCTTGAAAAGAATTTTTTGTCAAGGACTTAAAAGAAATTCTACAAGAAAGGTGATATATGCTTGTCACAACCTTATATATGATAGGTTGAGCAAAGGGAGGCCCTGTGAAAAAGTTGGAATGAAAAAAACAACAGCTTGAGATGGGTAATAGTTTCTCATGCCTATAATCCTAGCTACTCAGGAGTCTGAGATATGAGGATTATGGTTCAAAGCCAGCCTGGGTAAAAAATTTCAGGAGACACTTATCTCTAACCACCAAAAAGCTGGAAGTGGAACTGTGACTCAAGTGGTAGAGCTCTAGTTTTGACTGAAAAAGCTCATAGATAGCACCCAGGCCTGGGTTCAAACCCTAGCACAAACAGACAAAAAACCCAACTGCAATTTCAGACATGTAAGTTCAGTGGATTTTTACTTCTCATTGCAAAAGAGCACAAAATAGCAATGCTATTTCCAGGTGATTCTACTTTTGTTTTTTGTGTGGTACTCTGATAGTGTCAAAACAAAATATGTGTGTTTATGTGTACTTATATGAATATCTATTCTCAAAATCATAATTTCCTGTACATTGATCACTGAGCTGTTTTAGGGTAGAGGGTTATCTCAGGGTTGGTTTTTAGGGCATTGAATGCTTTTAATTGCTGGCTTCATTTCTTTTTGTCAATAGACCAGTAAATTTTATTCTGTACTATTGGAGTTAAAAAATAGTATAAGAAGTGGGTCCAAGTGGGTCCTTTTGTTAAAGAATTTATAACTTAGTACAGGCTTTAAAAAGAATAACTACAAAAGAAATGGCAGTGTAAGGCAATGCAAAAGAAGAATCAGTTGCCTGGCAAGATCCTATGACCTGTCTCCATGTGACCCAGGCAGTTCTGAATTTTTCTAGCTCTCATTTGTAGTCCTCACTTCTCTGCTCTCAAGCTTCTGTTATCACTTCAAATAAAATGCACCAACCACCATCTTGTTGTCTCCTGTTATTTTTCCTCATATCACTTATAAACACCTGACTTGGGCTAGATTTTTCCTTTAGCCTTTGTGAACTGGAATGGGAACTGCATAAAAACATGGACTATGATTTTTGTGCACTGCTGGAGCTCTAGTGCCTGAAGTAGCATTGGTTACATAGGGACTATTCCATAGGTACTTACTAGGTGAATGAAAGACCATGGTCATTTGTCAAAGGGGTAAGAGTTAAATAGGCATTTAAACAAAGTATGGCAAAGGCAAGTGGTAGCAAGCAATTTCTACCTCATTTTTCAAGTTCCTAATCTTATTAGTTTCAAATTTTGGTTTAAACTTTTGCTCATAATTCTTTATACCAATGTTTTTCTTTCTCTAGTCTATTGATGTTTGGGGCAGGAAATTCCTTTCCTGTCGAGTACTGTCTTGTACATTGCAGATGGCAATAGCATTCCTGGCTCCACCATTGCTTTATTAAAACATTAGTCAATTATCTATACATCTATTTCAACATTGTTTATGCAATTCCAGAATTTGTATTTGTAAATTTCATCTTTCTGATTGCTCTGTTGTTTTGTGACTTTGAGATTTACTTGAGAAACCAGGCATATTATATAAAATGTTGGAGGTGAAAAACTTCAGAGATCATGTAACAATTCTGTCCTTTGACACAAACTGAGAGTTTAGCTTTTTCTTGACATTCAAAGTACACCAATGTTTATAAACCGCGCAGTGTTGCTTTTCTGGATTAAAGCAAACTACTTGGTGCTTTTCAAATCAAGATGGGCAAATTCCATACCTGTGAAGAAACCTGACATATAATAGACTTTTTTCTTTTCCCCAAAGTGAATTTTTTTTCTAGAGTAACAATTTTTTTGTTTTTCTTTTTTCCTTTTGCAGTTTTTGAACTTGAACTTCGGGCCTGAGTGCTGTCCCTGAGCTTTTTTGCTCAAGGCTAGTGCTCTACCACTTTGAGCCACAGTGCTACTTTCAGTTTTCTGGTGGTTAATTGGAGATAAGAGTCTCACGGACTTTCCTGCCCTGAACCATGATTTTTAGATCTCAGCCTCCTGACTAGCTGGGATTACAGATATGAGCCATCAGCACCTGGCAAATATATGTTTATTAATAACATTATTTTGAATTTATTTAATAATTGGACAAGGATATTTGCCATGGTGCAACACTGAATGGTTTTGACATTTGACCAATATTCAATCCATAGAGGAATTAGGACTTTGAAAGTCTTCAAATGTGTCCAAAAATGCTCTTGTTGATAAGAAAACAACTTCCTGAGTGCAGTGGACTAGAAATTAAAAACATTTCATCGAAACATTTTTTCTTATTTAAGGGAGATCGGATGTGGCACTTCGCAGTTTCTGTGTTTCTGGTGGAGCTCTATGGGAACAGCCTCCTCCTGACTGCAGTCTATGGGCTGGTGGTGGCAGGGTCTGTTCTGGTCCTGGGAGCCATCATTGGTGACTGGGTGGATAAGAATGCTAGACTGAAAGGTGAGTGCCCTTCCATAACGAAGACTGTGTACTCTCATGGGACAAGCCTCTGTGTATCCTCTGTAACAGGGTAAACATCACACTAAGAAAGAAATCCCTATGACCAATATAGTGAATATTTGCACACCACACTTGAGGGGTTTTGCTGGCAGCCTATTTGGATTCAGAATCCTGGACAAGTTGGGATGTTAAAACATTTACCTAATAGATTGTTTTTGTCTTTTTGGCAGTTCATAATTTTCAGATGTTAATAATTAACACTAAAGCCGCTTCTCTGGGACCCATGTTAAACATTAAGAGTTTACTTAATCTAGCTTTCTTTCTAACCATGAATTGCACTGGAGTTTTCTAGTGTGATGTTTCTGGGACAGGTATACCATCTGCTAAAGGTCTAGGTCACTTTCTTTTATATGAAGATGTATATGTAAGAGAAATGAAAAATAAATAGCCTGGATCACAGACACCTGAATTATACGTTAATTTAGGGAAAAGAAATAATAATAGCATTTATTGTTGAACATTAAGACTGATCTTTTGGTTTTATACAGGACAAAGAGGAATTGAGCAATTCAGTTATTTAGAATAGAATAGCAAGGGAGATAATAATTTGTGTATTTTTTTTTTAAAAGTTGCTTGATAATGTCAAGAGCTAGGTGTTCTTAGACATTGGGGAAGGATTGAAGTGTCATTTGGTTTCTTGACATTTCAGGTAAGTGCACTTAAATATAGAGCAACAGGACTGTCAAATTGTAGGAGTCGATATTACTGGTAAAATGATACAGAGGAACTCATGTACAGCATTCTTTATCCTAGAAAAAAATCTAGTAATTTATATTATTATACAAAAATAGAAGTCTTTAGCCTTACATTTGTTGAGCTCTGCAATCATAGGTTAGGAATCATTTTGAGTGGAGTGAGTAGAAGTGTAGAGAAATAGAAATCTTCTACTTATAGAGTCAACTCTTATGTCACACTTAGAAGAACACTGCCCTGAATCTGTAGATTGTGCTCACTATTTTCCCTCTGTGTCTACACAAAGCTTTGTAATACCTCTGCTATTGTCCTTAATATAGTTATAATGGATTGCTTCATGTACCTTTCCTTGTGGCCTTTGGGGTCTTGAGAGCTAAGAATCTTATTCAGTTGGTATTTAATCCTTATATAATGAATATATATATACATATATACACATATGTACATGTACACATACATGAATTGAGATTTTATTTCAGAATGCTTTCAGAGAGCTGTTTATTTTTTTTGTCTTGAGTCTTTGATATGACCTTCCAAGCCAAGATGAATGAGCTTTACAATCCTGAGCTTTACAATTATAGCAAGAGCTATAATTACACTTGACATATATTAAAAGCCTTTCATAAATATTTTGAGTATCATTATAATTCCATAAAGTAAGGAAGGCAGATGTTGCTATTCTCACCTTCTAGACACCAGCATAAGAAACATTAAGTATCCTGCCCTAGATTATGTTCCTGATGAGTAGCAGAGAAAAGACTAACAGGTGACCTTACCTGGTCTTCTCCCGCACTTTATTTATACGTGTGCTTCACTCTAAGAAAGCTAGCATGTTCTGGGAGAGAAGGTGTAGCTTAGCATTTCACACTTGTAGCAAATAGCACCACTGTGCCAGAGGAAAACTCACAACTGCTTTATCCTTGGAAAATTTTTTGCATGTTTTCCTTATTTGTCTATATCATCTTATCAGATTAAGCTTGCTATGTAGGAGGCTGTGGATTCCATAACTTCTTCCTTAGCCTCCTACATATTATTTCAGTTTAAGCAACAAAAGGCTGAGAGATGGATTTTTTCGATATAATAGTTCTGTTTGTGACTGAACTTTAAAGAGAATAAGTTTGATGAAAATATACTATTATGAAGGGCATCTACTGACAGAAAATGTGGGTATTTGAGTTTGTGTGCGCATTTCATTGGTTTGCTGTGACCTCCTGGGTTGTATTGAGAATACAACCCAGGCAGAGGCAGAATTTACTTTGGAAAGATTTCCTTTTTTTTTTTTTTTGGTAATAATTATTCAGATATATCAATGTAGCAGAATAATGATGGCCTGTGTAAAACACACCTGATGAAGTTTAGTAATCACTTTTGTTTTTTCCTCTATACAGTGGCTCAGACTTCACTGATAGTCCAGAATGTTTCTGTTACCCTGTGTGGAGTCATCCTGATGATGGTTTTCTTACATAAAAATGAGCTTCTGACCATGTACCATGGATGGGTCCTTGTAAGTTTTCTATGAGATTCTTGGTGACAGGAAATTGAACATATGGTAGTGACAAAGAAAAGTCTCTTAAAACTTTTGCTTATTTTTGCAAATGTGACTTTTTAATAATTTATTGTGTGTCTACTGAAGCCTATATAATTTGGTGTTGTTTTGCCCATAATAGAAACTCATAATTGTTTAAATTCAAATTTCATTCTATTGGTTTTTAATGTAGCTTTAAAAAGTTTATTGAATAATTTAGTTGTTACTTTTTTGCTTTATTCCATGTTATTCTGTAATATATACACATGTATATACATGTATAGATACATATTAATATATAATCATAGTATATATTCCATAATATATTAATATACAATTGTATATTATATAACTATACATTAATATAATATATACATTAAGATATTATATATTATATACATTATTATAATATATAATATGTAATCTATATTATTATATATACTATACTTTAATATATAATATATGCTGTATTATACTATATTATATATAATATAATATAGTATCATATAGTGTATATAGTATATAACAATATATACTATATACCATATTGTTATATACAACATATTATATATTATACATACATACATACATATGTATTTACTATACATAAATACATACATATGTATTTAAGTAGTTGTAAAAAGAGGCTGCCTTCAACAAAGCAGTTTATGAATACTTGGTCATTGTTACCCCTTTCAGCATTCTCACTCATGAAATTCTCACCTTTTCCCTCACTTTTCTTAATTTTGTAGGATATGCATTGAATTTTGTAGAATGTTGCATTCTCCCCTCCATTTCTTCATTCACTTACACTTAATATATAATAATATATAATATTGTAATATATAATTACATATATTAATGTATAAGTATATATTACGTATTCCATACTATATAATATACTATAAATAATATATAACCAGTCATAATTGTGTTCCTTATATATTAATGCAAAATAATATATTAATATATGTTATATGCTATATATTATATAATAGTATATATTATGTATACTTTATATTATATAACATACAACAAAATAAATAGTATATAATAATCAGTTATAATTGTGTTCCTTCAAGAATCACATTTGTCTTTGAGAATATCAATTATATAAAATTTCGCAATATGATTTTATGATAGTTTGATGGGAATGGGTAGAAAAATTGGAGAGAGTGGAACAGTAGTTGTGATGGAATTTTTTTGTATTTTGTGGTATTTAATTACAGAGTCTTAAAGCCAGATAGACATTACTAGCCTTCAACTATTAGTCTTCTCATCTAATACAAATTAGAATAATACTTTGACCCTTAAAATGACCACTAATATGTGCTTGATTGTTTCATGTAAACAAAAGTGAAACAGTTTTTTATAAATGAAACTAAGTTCAAATTTTTATTATTTTGTCACCAATGAACATTTTAACCACCCTGTATACTGAGGTACAGTGTGGTAAATGAACATTTTAACTCAAAACTTTCTTATAATTCCTTAGACTTCTTGCTATATCCTGATTATCACTATTGGGAACATTGCAAACTTGGCCAGTACTGCTACTGTAATCACTATCCAAAGGGACTGGATTGTTGTTGTTGCAGGAGAAGACAGAAGGAGATTAGCAGGTAATTTGGTTTACTTTTTCATCTAAACTTCAGTCACAATAAATGAGGCTTTTTGTGGTTGTTCTGGGATGTTTAAAAACAATATATTGAGAGCATGGGTTTTTTTAACCTTGTAATTGGTCCTAGTAAAAAGATTTATCTTTCACAAAGTTAATTTGTAAGATAGCCAACTATTCTTTTATTCTATGCAAACCTCCCCAATAGAAGAACTATTCTTTTTCCTTTTCCCCTTTTAAAATTATATCATTTTTATTTATTATTTTATTTCATTGTTTTAAATATTTATAACAATAAAAATCTGATGTGTATTATACCAGTTATACTTATGGAGAGTACTATTTGTACTTATAGATCACGTAAGATATCGTTTTTCCCTACACCAAATGAAAACATACTGCATACATATATACATATGTATGTATATATGTACTTAAGTAGTTGTAAAAAGGAGCTGCCGTTCAAAAAAGCAGTTTATGAATACTTGGTCATTGTTACCTCTTTCAACATTCTTACTCATGAAACTGTCACCCTTTCCCTCAAGTTTCTTAATTTTGTAGGATATGCAATGAATTTTTGGCTGCATTCTCCCCTCCTTTGCTTCATTCACCTATACTTAACATTCCTCTACCCCTTTCATGTACTTATTTCCTGGTGTTTATTTTGTTGATGTAGGATTTAGCCTTTCTAAGGAATTACACTGGGAAACGTACTTGTGAGAAAGCCTCTAGTAGTTCATTTCTTCTATCTTTTTTAATATATATTTTTATTGTAAAGATGCTGTACAAAGGGATTACAGTTATATGAGTAAGGTAATGAGTACATTTTGTATTAAGCATTATTACCCCCTTCCTTTGTTTTTCCCCTACCATCCCTTTCCTCCCCAACTCTTCCTGCTCCCCCCTCAAGTTGTAAAGTTCATTTTCAACAAAGTGTTTTGTACATCTCATTGTTACAATGGGCCAACTTGTATCTTTATTTCAGCATTTTGTTATTTCCCTTCCCCTCCCCAAATTAGAAAAATGTATATACAAGATGCAGGGCACCGGAATTAAATACAGTAAAAACAGGGGTTATACCATGGGGGAAGAACATACAAAAGAAACAAAAAAAATTCACATAGTACATTATAAGTACATTAAAAACAAGAGCAACAAACATAAAACCTCTTTTGGGTTCATTTCACTTAGTATCATCTTATATGGTCATATGTTCATAGCTTCTTACCTTTTCTGCGTGTCCTAGACATATACTATTTATTGCAAATAAGGGAAACCATGGAATCTATGTTTTTTGGGGCCTGGCTTACCTCACTTAATATAATTTTTTCCAAGTCTATTTCCTAACAAATGGGGCAAGGTCATTCTTTCTGATGGTGGCATAGAATTCCACTGTTTATATATATATATATATAGACATAGATATATAAAATCTATATATCTATATATCACATTTTCTTGATCCATTCATCTACTGAGGGGCATTTCTTCTATCTTAAAGTTGTCATTTACAACTTATATTACGTAGGAAGTACAATAATTGCTTTAAAGTACTAAAAATATGGTGGAGAAAATACAGCTATTAAGATGTTTATAATCCTAATTCTTAGAAGTGCATCCTAATGGCTAAAGAAAGACTAAAAAATGCTTACAAAGCAGTATGTCCTATTACATCAATATAACTTGGGCTCAAAATACCTTCTTTCCCTCCATGCTCTCTACCTTCCCTCCACTTACAGAACACACAGAAACTGATCATTGCACATGGTAGAGGAGGAAGGATACAACTAACTACTGGTCAGATGAGCTGCATTAACTTCACTAGTCATTAAGATAATGAGTGTCACAAACACATTGCCCAACCATCATCCTAACAGACAAGAAACCATTCTTGATGACTTAAGTGGCTTACCCCAGAACATAGAAGGCAAGATTATGTAAGATTAGGTGCTGGGTTTAGCAAGCTGCTTTGTTTGACTGGACATTGTGGTTTAACAAAAAGAGGGGGAGCAGAACGGATATGGTAATTAAACAAGAACAAAGTCTATGGAAGGTGTAGAAGAAAAATTTGCTTGAATCATTACCTGTGGTAGCAGATAATCCAAATAGAATGTCACAGCAATTTCAGAGGATGATGAAGCTTGTTTGAGTCTGCAGTACAGAAAATTCTTACTGAGTTTACTTCTTGTGATTGTCATAAGGAATGATTCCACATTTCTTTTTGTTATGTTGAATGACAAGATAAAACATTGTTTTTTTTTGTGTTTACTTTCTCTTTTTAACATACTATTTTAAGCATATAAAATATGCCCATGATTTAAATTTCAAATGATGCAAAGGATATATTTTGAAAATAGGTCTTATATTTGTTGAATATATTTGAGGGGGAAAGTTTCACTTATCTGCGCTTGGTGTGTGTGTATGTGTATGCCACTCCTAGTGCTTGAACTCAGGGCCTAAACTCTGTCCCTAATCTTTTTCCTTGAAGCTAATGTTCTACCAATTGAGCACAGCTCCACTTTCAGCTTTTTGGTGGTTAATTGGAGATGAGTCGGACTTCCCTACCTCAGCTGGCTTTGAATCTCTGAACCTCAGATCTCAGCCTGAATAGCTAGGATTACAGACATGAGCCACTGGCTCCCAGCTTTATCTACATTTCTTAAGTGAACTCATTTTGACTTGGTGAAGTCAAGAAGGCTGTTTTTACTTGTGTAAAATAGTTTTAAGAGAAAGTCACTACAAATCTTTAGCTGGTCCTAAAACATATTTAAGCAATAAATATAAAGATACTACAAACTTTGTGGGATCTTTATCATTATAAAATGATGTCTCAAGACAAGAATAAAAATATGGCTGTCCATTCATTCCTCTTTATATAATTAATTATTGCAGGGTAGAAGATTCTAGGCCAAATAGTCCATTTTTCTTACTCTCTAGAGTTTCTCAACTTTTAAGAAGGGAATTGAGCTCTTCTTATCTGCTCTAAGCTTACTTTTAGTAAGGGGTGCTCTTTTACATACAACCAACTGCGAGGCTTAGTAGATGAGTGAAAGAAAACTACATGTTTTCTTTTCTCAAACTTTAACCTCAGTATTTGTGTTAATAAAAGTCACGTTTCAAAACAGTATCAGAAACTTCTTTAGTTCTGAGCATGAATTTGGAGTGTCATTTTGGCTATAGGCAATTAAAGGAGAACCGAGGAAAAGGAGATGGTTAAAGGAAAAATAGTAGCACGAAGGGGGAATGGAGTGTTTAGGATCTCTAGCAGTTGTCTTAGGTTCCTCTGAAGCTGTCTGTAGAAATACATACTTTCCAGTCAGAAATACTTTATGTTTATATGAGCTGATTTTTGAATTGTTTTTGACTGTTAGAATTCCAAGTGAAGGAGTAGACTAGGAAGATTTCATATTTTGTAAATTGTGTGGATGTGTGTTTGTGTATGTTTATGTGTGTATTGGGTAAGGAAACATGAAAATAAAGAGAAAGGATTGTGAGCTAGATATTGCTTGACTACAAAATGAGTTTAAAACTTGAAGCTGTATCATTGAGTATAAGGAACAGGAGTAATGGCTGTATAGTTTAGAAAACACTACAAAAGGCATTGTTTTTTCATACATGTGGTTAACTAATTTGTTAGTTCCTTTGGGGTACCTGACAGTATTTTATTTAATCGTCCTTTTCTATTATGTGGTATACTTGGCCTGTTGTAGATTCTTAAACTTTCCATTAGTTGCTTTGTTTTCTTCCCTATTTTTTATGTGTGTGTGTTACGTCTGTGTGACTCTCCATGTTATCTTTTCAGATTTTTTTCATGCCAACTTTCTAAAGAAAAATGTGCCTGTTGGCTTTGACCATGTGTAGCATATAAATTTCATGTTTGTACTCTACTGATTAAAAATTGACTTCACATTTGATGTAGACAAAATTGATAGTTACTATTTGCTCAGCAAATCTTTTCTTAAAAATGATTCTTCTGGCTGGGCTCTGGTAGCTCATGACTGTAAATCTAACTACTTAGGAGGCTGAGGATCATAGTTTGAAGCCAGCTCTGGCAGGAAAGTCTATGATTCCTATTTCTAGTTAAGCACCAGAAAACCAGAAGTGGAGCTGTGGTGGCTCAAAGTGGTAGAGCACTAGCCTTGAGGAAAGAACTCAGGGACAGTACCCAGTCCCTGAGTTCAAGCCCCAGGACTGGCACAAAAAATAAAAGCTCTTTTCTGACACTATGCTTGTTTGGACATGTAATCATTATTAGCTTCTTAAATATTATGTTAAAGATTGGAATTGGTGGTCTTGGAAGGCTCCAAGAGGACAGAAAACGATCTAATGTAGTAAGAGAGTAACAGTTTTAAAGTGGTAAGTTATTTGTATTAATTCCATACTTTTCTGTGGGTATATGCATTGGAAAATTATTAGTAGGGGCAGCTACTACAGTTAGTGAGGCCTCTGCTTAGATATTGACCTGTAAGATGAATGCTGCCTTTGCCTTCAAGTGAAAAGTGAAATATGTCAAAGTTCTGTTGTTATTGTGTAAGCATATTACACTCATTGAGCTAATCAGAAAGGCATTGAATTTGAACTAAGTAGGGAAAGAATAGAAGCAATTTCTAGTAATGTACTTAGTTATATAATGCTTTTTCCTAAGTGATCCAAATGGTTGTTGAAGACTTGTTAATTTTCACTCTGCTTTAAGAGATAATTAAGAAGTAGTACATTTTGTTTACTCCTTTATTGTTTTCAACTTTGACACAGCTCTTCATTCCCGTGGTAAAACTCTTGACCTCATCACTAAATCCTTCCCTTCTATTATCTAACTCTTTGGCATCTGTATCTTGGACTTCCACATTCTGTCTTTTCAACTCCTTCCTTCAATATCCTTGCCCCAACAGTCTCACAATTGATACTTACAATTTACTAATGTCACTTTGTTTTCGCTGTTCATGACCCCTCACTTGCCTTCCTTTCTTCCCCAGTTTAAACTGCAGTCAATCATGATGATATGCTCACTTCATAGGTTATATACACCCAGCTCACATGGCCCACTTCCAATTTGACACTTTCTTTCAGTAAGACTTTGATTAAATCCAACTATAGGCATGTCTGGAGGAAAAACGCACAGTTGTTTTGTTTTTCCCCATTGTTATCACTTGAAGTTTATGAACACAGTGTTTAAGTTGGTCCTTTCAAGCTAGTAGGTGATCGAACTATTTTCTCTGGTCTCTTCCCTCTCATACATTCCGGAGGACTGGTCTGCATTTTCTCTTTCGTTCTTTCACATTCATAATCTTCTCTTTTCCTTGCTTTCACTGATGACTTTGCTTTGTATATGACTGATAGAATAGAGAAAGGGCTTCGTGGGGCATCCACCATCACTTATATCTTCTCACCTGTTCCTGAAGCCATGTATGTGGCCTCTACACTCTGTGCAATTGACAGATTGTGCTCCTGTCCAACTTTTTTTTTTGTCTAGCAGTGATATCATTCTACTCAGGGTATAAAATGTTCTAATTTTCTCTTCTTAAAAACTCTTGCATTAAGAAAAGGTTAAATAAGTTGATGTTAGGCGAAATGAACCCCAAGATAAGTATTCAAATGTCTTTTCTTTCATGTGATCGTTTCTAACATATTTATAAGATGATTTCTTTGTTGCTTTGTATGCCCCTCCCCCACAATATAACCCCTGCTTTCACTATATTTGATGCTGGTATAATTTGTGGAGGGGAAGGGAAAAAACAAATCGTTTAAATAGGGATACAGGTGGACCCATTGCAACAATGAGATGTACAAGTCGTTATGTTGAAAAACGAACTTTCAACTTTGGCAGTCGGTGGGAGGAGGAGGGAGGGGAGACGGGGGTGGAGGGTAGGGGGAAAGATGGGAAGGGATAGGAAGGGGAAACAAAGGAGGAGGCAACAATGCTTGATAAGACTCATTATCTTGCCCATGTAATTGTAACTCCTCTGTACAGTATTTTCACAATAAAAACAAAAAACAAAAAACCTCCTGCATTAAAGCCTGACACAGGTAGCTCACGCCTATAATCTTAGCTACACCGGAGGCTGAGATCTGAGGATGGCTGTTCAAAGCCAGCTCAGGCAGGAAAGTCCATGAGACTCTTATCTCCAATAAACCACTCAGAAAACTGGAAGTGGTGCTAGCCTTGAGCTGAAGAACTGAGGGACAGCACCCAGGCCTAGAGTTTGAGCCCCACAACTGACAAAAGAAGCAAACAAAAAACCCCTGCATTTTTCATGCTGCCACCTTGTTATCCTATCTCTTTTTTCTTCTATTCAGCAAAACATATCAGGGAGAGAATGCCAATTTCCAATTTCTTTCCTTAAATAAGTCAAGAAATAGGGTTCACATTGTGCTCTGAAGGAATATGACCCATGGAAATGATAATAGAAATTGTATCCCAGGATGTGGTGCAGTCCCTTAAACCAACTTTAATCAGGCATATGTCTTTCCTACTTTATTCTGTTTGAGGTCCCCAACATATTCATGTGACCAATTGTCCCTTCTGAGGGCTAATCAGAACTTGATATAGTTTATTTTCTTTCCCTTTTGAACCACTGTCACCTTGTTTCTAAGACACCACACTCTCCAGATATCTAATCCTTTTTGATAGTTTCTAATCACTTTTTCTGATCTGTAAACATGGGTGTATCCAAAACTCAGTCATCAGAGATTATCTCTTTTCAATCTACAGACATTTCCTTATAGTCCCAAGTAGTCTCCTTGCTTTGAAAAATGACCAGCTGATAACTTTCCAAATCTGGCTCATATTCTTTCCAAAGCTCATCCTATGTGTTTAATTTTCTGCTTTTTGATTCAGCCTCCTAATTAGATCTACTAAAATCAGCATCTCCCAAAAGAAACACTTGTTCTTTTATGCCAAACTTGATTCTCTTGAAGTCTTCTCAGTAACTGGCAACTCAGAAAAAAAATAAAATAAAACAAAAGCAAACTCAGAAAACTTTAAGAATGAAGAGGAAAAATATACCTGGCAAACACATAATGCTGCTTTAAATATTCAAAATTGAACTGTAACCCCTCTGTACATCACCTTTATAATAACAATGAACAGTTTTCAAAATAGAAAAGGCTTTAAACTCATCATCATTTTTAAATCCTCGTTTCTTCAACATACATACTATTACTATTTGATAGCAAGTCCTCTCAATTTTACATTTAGAGTATGAACAGCGACTATTTCTCCACATTTTCACTATAGATGGTGGTATACACCAGCCTTACTGCCAATTACCTCCTTGCTTCTGCTTGTCTGCTACTTCCTCCATCCTTGTTCTATCATCATTTCTCAATATATAAAAACAGCCAACATTAGCCTTCAAAATATGCTAGACTATGCCATCTTTGTGTTTCAAAACCTGCAAATGCTTTCTGACTCAGAGTAAAAAATCAAAGTCCATATAGTATTCATAAGACCTTAGATGACTGGGCCTTACATGAGTTCATTTCTCCTGATCCAGCCCTGCTGGCCTCTTTGCTAATCCTCTAATACTCTGGGCCTGTTCTGACTGTCTTAGCACATTTGTATCTTTCCTGCTCTAGAATTGTTTTATGTCTATTTCCCTTCCTTACTTTTCACCATAGTATTTAATGAACATCTGCCATGTGCTATATATGCACATATGTATGTTATGCATATTTGCTTGTTTAATATATATATACATCTTTTTATCTATCTAATCTATCTATACATGTTTGCTTGACGATTTATTTCCTTCCATTTCTTATGAGAGTGCAAACTTCATGAAGATAGAGAAAGGTACTACTTGTTTTACTTACAGAGTTAAGAATGGTGCTTAGCTAATAACAGGCATAGAGTCACCATTGTGTTCATTTTAAAAACTGATGCTAAACTAATTTCTAGAATTCCAAGGAGACACAGTTTTTTGAGGCAAATTTAGAGTGGCTTGATTCAAACAAATGTTTTCTAACAAATTACTTTTTAGAAATCAGCATTTGGGGGAAATCTTTACTCTTGGTTTCATACTTCAGTATAATGGAAATGGGCAGCTTCTCTGGTAGATTTGAACTGTTACCTGGTCCTTCCACTTACCCATGCAGACATGAATGCTACCATTCGAAGGATTGACCAGCTGACCAACGTCTTGGCCCCCATAGCTGTTGGCCAGATTATGACTTTTGGATCTCCAGTCATCGGCTGTGGTTTTATTTCGGGATGGAATTTGGTGTCCATGTGTGTGGAATACTTCCTACTCTGGAAGGTTTACCAGAAAACTCCTGCACTAGCTGTGAAAGCTGTTCTTAAAGTAGAGGAAGCTGAACTGAAACAGCTGAATTTGCACAAAGGTAAACCAAACACAATGTCCAGGCCTTTATTCTGATGTTCAGACCTCATACGCTGCTGAAGATCCAAACTAGTTTGCATTTATGTTGGGTGAGGTTAAATACACTACTTTGCTAGGTGAGACAAACCAAAAGTATTTTTTAAATAGTATTTGGAACTTTTTCTGTGGCTGGAATTCTTAGATTACAGTTAAAGGAATTATAATGAGGCAACCAAGGGTACACTTAAGAGAGTAAGAAAAAGTAATTGGCTTTTCCCCTAAAATAATGATTTCTCTTGTTAACAGATACTGAGCCAAAACCCCTGGAAGGAACTCATCTAATGGGTGAGAAAGACCCGAATATCCATGAGCTTGAACGTGAACAACAGTCCACATGCATCTCCCAGATAGCTGAGCCCTTCCGTACCTTCCGGGATGGATGGGTCTCCTATTACAACCAGCCGGTGTTTCTGGCTGGCATGGGTCTTTCTTTCCTGTACATGACTGTCCTGGGCTTTGACTGCATCACCACTGGGTATGCCTACACTCAGGGCCTGAGCGGTTCCATCCTCAGTGTTCTGATGGGAGCCTCAGCTATAACTGGAATCATGGGGACTGTGGCATTTACTTGGCTGCGTCAAAAGTGTGGCCTGGTTCGGACTGGTATGATTTCAGGATGGGTACAGCTTTCCTGTCTGATCTTGTGTGTGATCTCCGTGTTCATGCCTGGAAGCCCCTTGGACTTGTCTGTTTCTCCTTTTGAAGATTTCCATACTAGGTTCATGCAAGAAGAGCCAATGTCCACAACGACCAAAATACCTGAAATCATCTTTCCAACTGAAACACTCATGTCAAACGGGTCTAATCCTGCTAACACTGTCCACGAGATGAGCACTAGATCGGTGCCCCTCATCTCCATCAGTCTGCTGTTTGCAGGCGTCATTGCTGCTAGAATTGGTAAGAACTTCTGTCTTGTCAAGTGATAAATTGAAGTGCCTCTTTGGAAAGCTGGTGTTTTCACCAATAAATTATCTGAGCTAGTTTTTGAATGTTAACCAAAATTTCCTATTTATGTATACTATCTAGACTTTCAACATGAAATTTTTGTTCTATAGCTTAAAAACTAGATACTTGTATGTGTACACATAAACTTAAAATGTGTTTCAGGCTTGAATTTTTCCTAGGTGAACATTTATGTAGAATGCAATATTCATTTAGAAAAATTAATATATAAATATATTTTAATGTTTAATATATGTGGGGGAGGTGTGTGTATGTATGTGTGGATCTGTGTTTATTGTATATGTGTGGTGCTGGGGCTTAAGCCCAGAATTTGTGCATGTTAAGCAAGTATTCTAACTCTGAGCTACATACAGTCTCAGCTCTTTTAATAATCTTAATGATCTTAAATATTTGATTATTAGTAAAAATAAATAATAAAAATAAATATCTTAAATATTTAAATGCTTTTAAGTATCTAAATCTTAAATATTTCTACGTGTGTGTGTGTGTGTGTGTGTGTGTGTGTTTCTGTGTGTGTGTGTGCGTGTGCGCGTGCACGTGTACACTGGTCCTAGGGGCTTGAACTCAGGGCCTAGGTGCTGTCCCTGAACTTTTTTGGCTCAAGGCTAGTGTACTACCACCTGAGTCATGGCTCTACCTCCAGCTTTTTTGATGCTAAGTGGAATTTAGACTTTCCTTTGGGACTTGCTTTGAACTTTGCTCTTCAGATCTTAGCCTCCTGAGAAGCTAGGATAAATATTACTCTTTTAATGTAATTTAGTTTTTAAAAGATATTAACTACAGCCCTTGTATTGCCAGCTAGAAATTTTGAGTTTTTTATATTACGTTAGCTCTACTAAAAGAACTATAATTTAAAGAGAATGCTTCTGTAGGCTAAGATATAAAAAGACAAGATTTTGGTTTTTAAACAACATAGTAGTTATTTAGATAATCCTGCAAAGGTCCTCTCTGTGAGATGTATATTTATTACATACTTTGACATACAAATAGGTTTTATAGCCCTGGAAGAAAGCATAATGTAACGACTAATTACAAAGTTTAAGTAATCATTAATAGATTACTAGTGAATTCATTCTTGAAATCAAACCGTATTTATCTTGTGACACAGAGCAATTTGTTAATTTATCAAGACATTAATATTCAAGCAAGACAGCTTTATTGTAAGGGTTGGAGAACCCAAGCAGTAAATGTGAGAGTGGTTTAAAGTTTGTTCACTTTTTTTCCCTAGTACTGGGGTTTGAACTAAGGGCTTCACACTCAACTACTTGAACCACGACCTTTAGAGTTTCCTTACTCTTTAGCCATATCATGTAAGAGGTCAGTTTAAACTTCAGAAAAATTAGTTCTTACTAGGGCTAGGTCCCAGATTTCAGAATTTTGTTTAAAGAGTATGAATATCACAGAGAGACAAAACTAAGAAGGCTGTAGCTTAAATTTATTTTAACTAGTAGCTGTAAAAATCTTAATGCCATAAATAACCCTATCATTGTCAATAAAAAGAAAAATAATTAAGGCACAGTTATGTTCTTTATACAAAAGGGAGTAGGGCCAAAATGTGCATCTTGTATAAGTCAAAAAATACCTAAATACAAAAAAAAAAATATGGAAGTGGCGCTGTAGCTCAAGTGGTAGAGCGCTCGCCTTGAGCTGAAGAGCTGAGGGACAGCGCCCAGACCCAGAGTTCAAGCCCCACGACCGACAAAAAAAAAAAAAAAAATACCTAAATACAATCTAAAATATATGGTTATAAATTATAATTATATATTAAAATTCAATGTCTAAAAATATCTTTTGTTATAGGTCTCTGGTCTTTTGATTTAACTGTGACACAGTTGCTACAAGAAAACGTAATTGAATCTGAAAGAGGCATTATAAATGGTGTACAGAACTCCATGAATTATCTTCTTGATCTTCTGCATTTCATCATGGTCATCCTGGCTCCAAATCCTGAAGCTTTTGGCTTGCTCGTATTGATTTCAGTCTCCTTTGTGGCAATGGGCCACATTATGTATTTCCGATTTGCCCAGAAAACTCTGGGCAATCAGCTTTTTGTGTGTGGTTCTGATGAAAAAGAAGTTACGGATGAAAATCAAACTAATACATCTGTTGTGTAAGGCAGTTTAACTGTTGCTATTCCTGTTACTAGATTGTATAAAGTACATGTGCTTATATTGTACTTCAAAATTCCAATAAATGCCTGGGTGTTTCTCTGTTTTTACCACAGCCATGCCTTAAGGGCTAAGAGCTATTTAGGAAACCTAAGTCAGAAGTGAGCTGGTTATTTTCCCTTACATTTGAGCATTGGAAAAAAGTTTAAGAATGGGGAAACTGTAATGATAAAACTGAATTCCCTATTCTTAGGAGTAGATACAATTTTGCATAAGAGAGCAGCTAATGTTGTGAATTGTTATTATCTGCACAAAAATGCAGATAAATCAACCTGCCTTAAAACTCACTGTCACTCATGGGATTTACATTTTTATATCTTAATTCTCAGTTACATTATAAAAACAAGAAAGCTCTCTGCACATGAAGATTACAATGTTAACCAGTATTCTCCTTACAGATCCTGTTGATCTTAAGGGATTTGCTCTATGTGGGGAAACAAAACACATAACAAGAATTTCCTAACAAGGTTTATGGCTTAACATTAGTGACCATCTTTGCATTTTTACTATCAGATCAGGAAAATACTGTATTAAGCATATATAGCTCTTTGTAGAATGGTTGTGATGTAAGCTGCAGATAGAAACAAAGCTGGAGAGTAGATTTCTAATGCAGTGAGTACCTAAGGACTTAAGTCAGTAGTTTGCACATAGAATCTAGAGGCTAAAAGCTTTTCCACTATCACTAATGGTATGTATATCACAATAAGAGAGAGTAATCCTTCACCCTGGCAAGTGACATGGAGAAAAGTAGCCCCCAGTAGGGAAGTATTGGAAAGGTTTTGTTTTAAAAATCATTTGATTTCCTTTGAACAAACTTGGATGAAACACTTTTACTTTAACTGTTTTATGCCTATGAGTTCTATACATTGTTCTAGAGCAAGAATATTCATTAAAAAAGTTTCCTTTTCAAAAGTTTCCTTTTGAAAAGAATAAAAGAAAAATATGTTTGTATATATTTTCCAAAACTGGTTTACAAGTCATTTCGCCACATGCCAGTACCAACATGGTACTTTGCCTTAACCTTGTATGCACTTTCATGGAGACTGCAATACGTTGCTATGAGCACTTTCTTTTCTTCCTTGAGGTTCAGTGTTTCTTCATCTTCCTACATTAAGACATAATGATTTTCTATGTTGTAAAATCTTTGTAAAATATTTCTATATAAAAATATTTTTAAAAGCTTATTTTTTTTTCACTGAATTGTGTTCTTTAATGCATGTTGCTTTTGTCGCAGAACATCTGCTCTCAATAATGTGTTTTTTTCTATAAAAGGATAGCTTCATAATTTCTATTTCTGGTTTATGATGGGTAATAGTGCAGTAAACATGGGGCCCAGCATGCATTCTTTGACCTCAAATCAGTTAGCCTAGGTCCTGAGTTTCTATTTTTCCCTTCTGTAAATTGGAGATGATACTATAAAAACAACCCTAACTCACAGCTTCCCTGAATGACTGGAAAAGAGGCCATGTGGAGTCGCTGAGCAGTTGAAGTGGTATTATTACTAGAGGTTGCTTCAAAGTAAGGAGGAGTGTGATTCTCCAGAGAGCATAGAACTAACTACCTTAGATATTCAGCAAACACTTATTGATGCCTTGATCTACGTCTCAAACTGTGATCAGTCCTGGGAGATGCAAATTTCACTCAGACATAGTTGTTTTCCTTTGCCTAAAACTAGAAGTTTGGATGCTTTGGGCACCACCCTATATCTACTGATCTGTTCCTGAAGTTCTCTTTACATGGACAATAGATGTCTTTATCAAGTTTGGCTGTGGGTTTTTTGTTGTTGTTGTTGGTCATGGGGCTTGTACTCTTGGGCCTAAATGCCATCCCTCAGCTCTTCAGTTCAAGGCTAGTGCTCTACCACTTGAGCCACTGCACCACTTCCGTTTTTCTGAGTGGTTTAGTGGAGATACGAATCTCCCGTACTTTCCTGCCCTGACTGGCTTTGAACCATGATCCTCAGATCTCAGCCTGCTGAGTAGCTAGGATTACAGGCGTGAGCCACTGGCATCTCGCTTGGCTGTGGGATTTAACAGAGTCTTTGCTCCCTCCCACAGGGATGGAGCTGGGACTAGAGATCTACCCTGTGTGTTTGCAGCTGTAACTGGAGCCTATGACCTTGTACAATGAAGAGAACCATGTTACAAGATTAGCAAGGAAAGGTTCAAGCTCTTAATATGGGCCTTTTGCCAGACTATGGACCTACAGGGAGAGGCCTCGTATACAAGGAAGGAGCATGGAGTTGGCCAGTTAATAGGAACTTTTATAACAGCTGTCCTTATCTTTTGCTCAGAGCAGGAAGAGGAGGAAAGAGAAGGGGAATTAATGCTGGTGCATACAGCTTTTACTGTTTACTGTCACAAGATTTAAAAGTAAGTCCAGGGGTAGGTGGTGGTCTGTCCTCCATTAAATAGAGAGCCAAATACTTAAGGAGTCGATGAGGCAACATAAAGAGGTCAGTTAGAAAGAGGAACATATTCATTTAGTAAGTGATTTTGTAAAGTGTCACTTATTTTGTCCCCATTTGAAAACAATTTACACTTTTAAATTATCTTTTCTATGCTAGATGAGCTTCTTACTTTGTTTCTTACATTATTCTTTCAGCAGAAACTACCTTTGCATATCATACCTAGGGAAGTAATCTTCATTTTCTTCTTTTTTAAATTAGGGCATTTTTAAATACACACACATATGTATCATATCCACTCCCAATCACCTTCTCTTATTCTCCCTCCACCCTCCTTTTCCTCTTCTCCAATAGTCTCCAGTAGTCCCCTACTATTGTCTTTCTTCCTGGTAGACACTCCTCAAATGAGAGAAAATGTGATACTCATTTTTCTGGGTCTGGCTTATTTTGCTTATTTTAAAAGAAATACCTACCTCCCATTCCCCAACCTGAAGAAACCCATTTGGTATTCTTTTCATTGTCTACTACCATTTGCTTAAGTAAGAAGCTACTTTCCTATAATCTACTCAGGATGTAGAATGGAGCCTGGCCCTAACAGTATGGGGGAAGCAGAAGAGAGTGGTCAGGGCTCTGGTAAACTTCTTAGGGTAACTCAGTGCATGTTGCCTTGTTTGTGTTGCCAGACTGGATCTTTAAAAACAAGCTGGGCATCTGGAACTTGGTAGAAATCATTAATTTCTCAAATATGGGCAACTAATTTGAAAATATTAAAAATACTTTGCAATATAAAGTTTGATTTACATGTGTGAGCCTGAGCTACCTCTTTTTTCTTTAAGCTTTTCTCTAATGAGCTAGTTTGCAAAGAAGAATGATATTTGGATAAAGCTAGCACATGTAGGAAGAAAAGATGGATATGTACTAGAATTGCAAAGTCAAGAACAAGAAAGAACTGGGCAGATATTTGTGATTTTTTTTAACTAGGTATCCTTTGCTAAAAATTATTTAGGGTCAAATATTCTATGCAATTATTATTTGCCATGCTGATATCAGTAAGAAATTTCCTTGGTTTGCTAACACTGAAGTATGAGATAATAATAATGATTTAAAAACCTTTTTAAGTTTACCTGAATTATAAAGAATATTACCTGCATTATTGTCCACTCCTGTTTTTAAAATGAACATATGGATAATTTTAAAGGGTCAAACTGCCCCCTTCCCTCACTCCCTGAATCTCTAGAACACTTTGGGTTTATTCTTTTTTTTTTTTAATCAGTCGTGGAGCTTGAACTCCGGCCTTGGGAGATGTTCTTCAGCTCTTTAGCTCAGGCTAGTGCTCTACCAATTGAGCCACTGAGCCACTTCCGGTTTTCTGGTGGCTTATTGGAGGTAAGATCTCATGGACTTTCCTGCTCCAGTTGGCTTTGAACCACGATCCTCAGATCTCAGCCTCCTGAATAGTTAGGATTACAAGCGTGAGCCACCAGTGCCTGGCTTGGGTTTATTCTTACACTTCAATTTTAGTGAAATTTTTAAAAGTCCATTTTATATCATCATTTGGTTTGTTCATTAAGATTAAATCTCTGTTGATCTGTATATATTTCCAAAATTCTAAGTAAGAGTAAACTAAGAGTTATGTTTGTATTAAGATTTAAAGATATACATGATGATTGTCTAACATATACATGATGCATTGTCTAACATATTTAGTATGATCAAGAAATAAATTTGGACTGGAGTCATGGCTCAAGTGGTAGAGCACCAGCCATAAATAAGCAAGGTGAAAGTTAGGTCCTGAGTTTAAACCTCAGGAATTCTAGAAGAAAAAGAAATGAATTTCATCCAAGATTGTTTTCAGCCAAGACAAAGTTTGACTTCCCCCTCCTATAATCCTGTCTGCAAACTCTTGGAAACTTCAGTTAGACATTGCACTTTCTTTTATACTATCTTTCCTTCTTCCTCTATATCTACCTCTAAGAATAATCTTTGCTATCAGAACATTTTTGTTTTACAAGATAGCAATTCAAGAATAAAAATGAAATGTTAGAACTCTGAGACAATACATACACATTAATCAGATGTCTGAACTGACTATGTTTAGCCACACTTTAAAGTTGTATGACTTTTTTCCTTATATGGAGAATAGTTTACTTTTTCCAGGTCCAAAAGGGAGCAAGCGTTTCATCTAAAGAATGGACAAATGGGAGGCAAAGTACAAGTAAGCACTTCTGTCAAGATTCTTTGCCTTAGCTTCCATGTAAGTTAGTGTATAGTTTTCTATTTGAACATTTGTCTTATTGCATTTTACTAGGAGAAAAGTGTACTGCAAGTTTTTGAAGTAATTATGTCCACTATTATGATTACTATTGTCTAAAGCGGTGCTTGTCCTTAATTCATATCTACAGTTGTAGTAATAAAAAAATGTTACTCTAGCCAAAGCCAGTGGCTCACACCTGTAGTGCTAGCTCCTCAGGAAATTGAGATCTGCAGATTGCAATTTGAAGCCAGTCTAGGTAAGAAAGTCTGTGAGACTCTTATTTCCAATTAACCACCAGAAAGCTAGAAGTAGAGCTGACAGTTAAGAGGTGGAGCACTAGCATTCAGCAAAAAAGCCTAAATGCAGTGTGCAGGCCCTAAGTTCAAGCTCTAGGACTGGCAAAACAGTTAATCTATTTATCAATTAAAGATATAAAATAATAGATGTTTTATAGTAACCGAACTATTTCAAGAGAAATCCACAGTTGAAGAAGTGATTTTCAAGCCCTATAATAATCAATCTTGAATAAACAAGACATATTACATTTAAGTCATACCTACAGGAATATTTGAACCCAATGTATACATAGTCTAGGAAGAATAATTGTCCAATATTAAATTTAATTTTTATTTAGTATTATATTTACCAAGTATAAATACATTTTCTAACTTGTTAATGGTAAGATTTTTAAAATAAAAGTCATTAGAGTAGGAAAAATGAATAATTAAACAATTATTTATAGGCATTTTATTCCCTTAATCTTCCTTATAACTCAGTGAATAATGTATTACCTGTGGTTTTTAAACGGAAAACAGACTCTCAGAATAAATGTCATGTAATTACACAACTAGAAAGAGGTTTAACAGAATCTAAAACAGTCTGTGGTTGTCTGCAAAGGCCATCTTCTGCCTTCTATACCACACAAACCTAGCATGAACTGTTTCTAATGGGAAATGACAGATAATCCTTAATATTCTTGAGGAGCCTAGTCATTTATGGTAAATGTATTTAAATTCACATTGAAAAATGGGTGTAATTACATTATCTGGCTCATCAGACATGAGAATTTCTAATTGTGTTTCCAGGGAGCTAAAGTTTTTCAATATTCGTGGCTATTTTATGTGTCTTATTTGGTCATTGTGCATCATTTAATATACGTAGAGGTTTTCCTAACACCTATATGAGGGGGTAGAGGAAAATGATTAGACGTGACATAGAGAACTGAATTCAAATTTTGGCCTTGTTAATTACTAACTTTTGTAATTTGGGGAAAATTGTTCAACTTTACTGAATTCCAGCTCTCCATTTACACAATGAAAATATTAACATCTATTTGAAAGATTAGCACTCTCAGCCCAGATACTAATAAAGCCCCTAATTGTAATGTTATTAAATTTATGATAAAATTGTAGATATTCTGCTCCAATATAATTCATCGTTACTAGTTTGTTTTTAAGCAAGTATGCTGTGTTTGAAAGCAGAAGAGGGAATCCTGATCGACATAATATTTTTAGTGATATTAG